TCTCTCTCTCTCTCTCTCTCTCTTTCTTTTTGTATTAGAAGATGCTATGTTTCTTTAACATTTGTTCCTCCCCCTACTATGTACAATTTAAATATTTTACGTGGCATATCCACCAATCATTATCCATATATGTGTGTATTCCCTTTGTATAAGTACATATACAATGAATTGTAGCTTACCTCCCTGTGGGCAGGAAAAAGAGGAAAAGATGCACATAAGATTGAAAGAAAACTCAGGAGTACCTAGAGTCCGACTTCTCAGATGCTCACAAATGTATTCCAAACATGATGAATCATGTGAAAAGGCATTTTATTGTTGACTTTTCTGACGGGCATAATGCTTTGTTTAGGATACAGCTTGGCAGAAAGACATCCAAGGACACGGCATGTAACTGCTATCATCCTCCAACTATCTCTGGGATTTGCACCACCCTTTCCTCCCCACCAAATCTGGAAGTTGGAATGTTTTGCACGCATGCATCACCAACACTTAAGCCAACACTCCTTTGGTATGTGGGATATTTTCCATTGGCACGACCTCATTCATTGTATTCATGAATCACTTTCCATTAAATTCCTATGACCATCTCTTTGAACATGTTCTTTTCTTTTTATAAATAAAATGTAAAGTATACAGACGTTAAATATATGTCATTTATAGCAATAATATGTGTATATCTCATTCAATCTACATGTAAATTGGATTACCTTTAAAGACTCTATCAAAAAGTATACATATAATTTATAGAAGATAAAATGTTTTCTTTAAGAATATAGTTTTCAGTTATTCTAGTGTGTACTTTTCCTTTATTAAATAATTTCACTCTGTATTTTGGAATTCATATACATTTAAGTAACTATCTTTTAATACAGGATTTTAAGAAGACTAGAACTCTACACCATGTGTGGGCTTCTCTCTAATGAACATTCTATTTCTTACTCTTAAATAAAAAGCAAAACAATGGAAACAAGGACGATACCAGGTTCCTTTGTCATGACAAGTTTGTAGGAATTACAGCTAACATAACCTTGTAATTCTAATTTGTCAGTTACATAAAAGATTTAACCTGTGCATGGCCAAGGAATACTATTGTATTTGTTAAAATTTGCTTCCTAATAGAAGCGTGGACACTGAGCATAAACTTTAGCTTCCCTTTTCATAATGTCTGAAACTTTCAATAATTTTATTCTCCCTCGGTTCTCCCAAGTCTTTGATAATATAGTTTCTCACACCCTCTGTGTTTAACAAAAGGGTTGGCAGGCTTCTTGGCATGGGCCTGATGGTTAAACATGGCCAGATCCCAGCTGGCAATTGTGCCCCCTCAGGTCTCCATAGGGCCCAGTTTAAAATGGCACGTTGATATGTCCTGAGCTCTTCTCGGGGTGACCAAGGACCAGTGTCCACCACACTGAGGACAGCTGTGTGACCACGGAGGAAATCAGTGCCAAGTTGTTCAGAAACGATTACATTTGCAAACCATCGTTACACAGAATTACTTTTGCATTTAAAGGTATAATTCTGCCTTTTTTGCTGTGGTTTTTGCTTTGATATTGGAAGCGTATGTGACAGGATAAGCAGTTAATTTTTTTTTCTTTCTGGAGTAGCAATATCAACTAAATAAAATAAAAAACAAGCCCTAGGAAAACAGCAATTTTTATATTCGCCTCTCAAAACATTTATAAAAATTACTTTTTTAAAACACTATTAGTAAAGACCTTAGCAAAAATACTGCAAAAGAGATGAAGTAAACATACCAAAAAAAAAAAAAAAATACAAAGAACACGGAAAAAAATTCTATTAAATATTTATTATTTTTCCTTTCAGAAGGCTTAGGGATAAGCTGTTTGTTTTTTTCCTTCACCAGGATGTCATATTTTTATTGCTTCTGTTTATATTTTTTTATGTGAGTTACCCAATAGGGTTGAGAAAAAATAAAATGATTTTTCTCAGCTATTTAATATCTAGTCCTTAAATGCCGCCCTGTACTTCTTTATTAATAAGCTGAAATAGTGAGAATCCCGAGAAAAGTAAAAATAATCTAGTTGGTAATGTTCTTTTTTCTGCAAGATGGGACATGAATGCCTGACCTCTTGTCTACTAATTCAGGATCTCAGACGTTTTGATTATTGGTAAATATCACTCCTGCATTTCCATACCATCCATCAAGAGCTAGCAACCTAAGAAGAACGTCTGAGAGGGATTTCAGAAGGAATGTGCTGAGAAATCATCACTTTTTGCTTCTCCTCAACTTTCTAGATAGTCATGTTAATGTTAAAAGCACCATATTGTATAGTTGGATAGTGTCTGGGGGTACCACAGTGAAGGTTTGTACTTGTAGACAGACCTAACAACTGTGAGAGAATTCTGCAGTTTACTGACCACAGCACAAAGAGGAGACCGTAGAATTTTTTCTTCAATACCACTTAGCTGACCCAAGAGGTCAATGTCTTCTCTCACAGAGTTCCAAGTGTCCAGCAGTGGAACTGAATGAGAGATCATATTTGTTGACGATACATCCCATAAGGGGTTAATATATCCAAAGTTTATAAAGAACTCATACAACTTAACACTAAAAAAACCCCAAACAATCAGAATAATAAATGAGCAGAGGACCTTTATAGACATTTCTCTGAAGAGGACATACTGATGGCCAATAGACATATGAAAAGATGCTCAAGGTCACTAATCATCAGAGAAATGCAAATTGGAACCACAATGAGTTATTACTTCACACCTATCAGAATGACTATCATCAATAAATCAACAAACAACAAGTGCTGGTGAGGATGTGGAGAAAAGGGAACCCTCGTGCACTGTTGGTGGGATTGTAAATTGGTGCAGCCAGTATGGAAAACAGTATGGAATTTCCTTTAAAAGAGTAAAAATAAGATAGTCATTAAAAAAAAAAATCCTTTGACAAAATCTCCAAAGATATCCACATTTCCAGACAAGATATAGTTTAAGAATTCAGACGAACTGCTAGGTATATGGTGAAAATACAGAAGATGAGTGCCTGTTTTTCTCTCCACAGTTTCCCATGGCTTATTGTGTGAGTGTGTGTTTATGAAGCTAAAGAACTGATTTTCTAGACTGTCACCTGTTTAATAAATATCTACGTTCCATAACTTACCACATTCAGCTTCTTCCATTTTTGATTGAGAATGACTGGTACATGTTATAAAGTGGAAAATTCCTCCTTTAATAGGACAAAATGTGTTTCCTGTCTCAGTATTTGCAACCACCTAATCAGGAATAGCATTTGACAATGCATCAATACAGTATTCGATTCAAATTCTAAAAAAATGAAATGAGAACGTTTCACCGGAACAATAAGAAACTAATGAGAATTGATAGAAAACTCAATTTTTTCTTTCTTTTTCTAGAAATGATTTTGGTTCAGATAAAGGAAAGCAATTCACAAAGGTGAACTGTGGCATAAAAGGAGAAATTTAAGAAGTGACTAGGCATGGAAATAGGTCATAAAATTTGAAGAAAACTTGCGTTTGCTGCATTGCTTTGTTATCTAAATAGGAATCTTTCAAATGTCCGGTGTTTATAATTTTTCTATAAAAATGCAAGCATCTCTTGGATGGCATGCCCAGTATTAACTAATATCATAACGATATTTGTCAATTAAGAACTCAAGCTATTGGGTGAAAGAAAATGTTCTGGAGATCGTGGGTAGCTGAGTGAGCAACAAAAAAAGGAAGAGAATTGCTGTGGAGAAAATGCAGGACACTCAGAAACAAACCCTCTATTTTGTAATTCCTTAGACAAACTTACAACTTCATACTACATTAAAAGTTATTGATACTTAATGTATGGGATGCTGTATTGA